GCTCAGCGTGTAAAATGAAAGATATGCGAGATACGCGCAAACATTTTTGCAAACGAGTTAACGCAAGGTTACGTTGAACAGGGGAAAGTTTTTCCATCGAGAGGACATAGATGCAAACGCGAATTATTCGATGAATTATTCTATACCGGATGTTAATAATTATTTTTTTTTTATTACCCAGAATTATTTAACTTTTCAATAATTTTTTCGTAAGTTGATAAATTATGATCCGAATTTAAAATTTTTCATGGAAAAAAAAAAAAGAAAATTGCAGTTTTACTTTTGATTTGACCTCTGATCCACTAATTTAAGAATCATTTAAGAACCATTTATTGGTAATCGAAGGTAAATTTATTGTTTGAAATTATTTTTGATATTTTTGATATTAAAAAATAATATAATAAAAATATAATATAATAATATAATAAAACAATATTAAAAAATAATATAAAAACAATATAAAATAATATTCAATAATTCAAAGTAGTTAGTTTTCTCGATTTATATCATATTTATATTCCGAAAGAATAATAGCTTCATCTTCAGATTTCGAAATATTTCCTCTTTACTTTCATTCCTTTCAACATTTAAGACACGATCCCATTTTAATTAACGTGCGATAGGTTTCACCGTTGGATTTACTTTCGGCGCCGCAAATTAATTTGTTGGTCGGTTTAATGGCGGAACCGATCCTCGTTGCGAAAACTAACTTCCATCCGGATATTTTTGCTAACGCGATCACGTCCGCGGTTGCAAAAGATTTGTCGGCCGAGGAATGCGTTAATTGCTCTGGTGTAGAAAGTCACGGTTAATCGGGGACGTCTGTGATAAATTGTTGAAAATAAAATAAAATCGTAACCTCTTGAAAATATCATGATTTAGAACTTGGAAATTAAATCAGATCTAATTTTATTTTTACGTGTTTTATATATGATGTACTTCGTTATTTTTCCTTACCAAATTTATATTAACTCCGATCATATGTAACTAACTTAACTTATATATTTCATTTATCAGAAAATAATTAAAGAAATAGATTCGATTGCAATCATTTGATTTTTAAAAATTTAAGTTGATCCATCTCATTTTTGAGTGATTCAATCACTATTTAGATAATTAAAGTCTCTAAAAATATCCTTAAGATTCAATAAAAAATCTCCAATATTTATTTTTTTTTTTTTTGATTCTTCAGACTTATTTCTCAACTTTAATTATTTGGAAAATTTATAAATTTCAAAATCTCTAAGAAAAGGATTCCTTTTAAAAAGATTTTTATCATATCATATTTCTTCATAATTCATAACTTTCCTCTTTCAGAAATAAATCCTATTAAAATTGGAGATCCGACAAAAATTTCCAAATTAAAATTTTATATTCTTCATTTTCATATTTTTGCAGCTTTTCTATCCTGTTTCGACCACAATTTGTCAGAAACTAATCACTAATTAGAAAATTGGAATTCCCAGAATCTCTAAGAACGAAGATCTCCAGCAAACAATCTGAAACTTGGCAAACCACAAGTAGGTGAAAACATTTCCTAACTCGTTACACATCTCGTGGTTCCAGGGAAAACAGTTTCATCCAAGCTTGAACGCTCCACCTCCCACAACGCTACAACCCCAAGTGGTTAACTCCCCAACGAGCAATCTCACGAACGATTTGATCCGCTTGCCAAGCAGATTTCGAGATCAACTTTCGATCGTGACGTTTATTCACGTCAGAAGATTTCACGACGATAAAATCCATTGTAATAACATTAACAGGTTGCCAAATGTCATCGTGATGATCATTTTCGAAGGGTTTTTGGGTGGCTGTAGACTAACGACAAGCAAATAATTTCGTCGAATAGCCTTGAGAGTAAGTAATGTTTCTCTTGAAGCTGCTTGTAGAATGGAAGACCATTAAATTTTTATGTGGAAAAAGATTCTTCTGTTGGACCGAATCAAAAGTTGAGTAATATTAACTAACTTTTATTGATATTGCAGGATTATACTTATATTTGATATACATGATTATGAAGTTGTATCAAGTGGATAAACAGATAAAAGGATTATTACTTGAAAGTATTAAAAAGGTTTTCCTCCACTAACAACTAGTGGATCTTGCATCACAATAATGCTTATATAACACTATTATTGAGAAAACTTTGACTAATGAAAATATGATAAGATAGAAATAAGTAAGCTGAGGATATATTTGTATAAACTAAAATTTATATAAATATTATTAAAGAAATGGAGATTAAATATTTTTAAGAGCTGAACCTCAATGACTCTTTTCCAAAAAAATAAAAATAAAAATAGTGAAAGGAAGGTATTTTAATGGAATTAATGACACATCGAGAATGACATTATTTCTTTTTCAGGGATGTGCAAGACTGTCATATACATAACATTGAGAGAATATTTTGAATCTGAAACGAGAATGCGACAATCAGCAATGGAGTAGGGAGTAATCTTACCACAAAAAGTTCACCCAACTTTATCGTCGTATCTCATACACGGAATGCGAAAACACGACGCAAGATAGAAGAGAGGTTTTGTCCTGTTGAAAATGTTTCCTTGATCGAGGCACGAGCCGACGTGCACGACCTCTCTTCATCTCTTTCCTCGTCCATGTTGAACCAACACGACCAGATCGCCTTGGCCGAGCAGGAAAACAGTCTGATCTCATCTTGTAAATATGAACGTTACTTCTCTCGTTGCCTCTCTCGAGGAACAAGCGCCAAATGGCGGAGATTTTATGGAAATGGCACAAATGGTTCTTCCATACGAAAAGAAACAACGATTTAGAATCCCATCGATTTCCATTATACTCGATTCTGTATAGTCGATCGTTCGAGAGAGTCGAGCGACGAACGGAAGTATTAGAGGCGGAAGTTCGAAGCCTTGGAGAAATAGAGGTTGTAACCAGAGGGATCAAAACATTGTACGTTGGTTGATGAAGGTTTTACAGCCTGTAATGTGAGATCGTGAATGCAGTATCTTTAATGAAAAATGTTTCTTTCTTTTTTAAAAGAGTATTGGATTGAATCGTGTAAAATTTTATTTCTGGTGATAATGGTTATTAATAAGTGATATTTTCTTATAAAATTTTATTATTTTTATACAGGATGTATTGATAAATATCTAGTTAGAAATTAAGGCAATGAGAAAAAATTAGATAGGTGAATTCTTTGTAAAATTATATCAATTCTCTATAAGGATAATGGAAATTTATAATTTTTATAGGTAATAGTTTATTAAATAAAAAAAAAATTATTTTAAACAATGAATACAAATCAATTAAATTTTCAGATAAATTTTTATTAATTTTCATTATAATTTGTTATTTAAAATTTCTATGTAAAAAAGATATATTTATGCGTTGCATAAAATGTTATTATTTGATATATACTTTGTCATTACATGAAATATCTTCTGCTAAAGAAAATATACAATGAAGCACTGTAAAACAGTATATAGCAATTGAAATGCTGTGCAGAGATGTTTCTAAGATTTCACCGAGAAATTATTTGGTCGTTGACCCAATAGAAGTGAAATAGAAATAAGTGTGTGTCATTGAACCTCTGTGCAAGAATTATGTCATGTCTTCCTAGCGAGAAATAAATTATTACCAATAAATATATAAATATTCACACTTTTTAATTTTTTTGAGAGAAACGAAAAATTTATAAGAAAATTAATCAAAACTCACATAAAAGTTTACCTTCAAGTAAATTAAAATAATAAAACTATAAATACACGTGTTTCTTTTTTTTCTTTTAAGGTTCGAATTATCATATTATTCATTTCTATTCATTAGATACCCATATTTTTTATTTTATATCTCCATTCATTATTTTGTAATTAGTTTGCAACAGCATTTTTAATTATATTTTTTATATTAATTTATTAAGTAAATTAGCTATTAAATTATTGACATGATCTGAAATTTTTTGTAATATAATGAATCCATCGTCGACGCATGGATACTTTTATAAAAAAAAAAAAAAAAAAAAAAAAAAAAAA